CCCTCCGCCTTCTGTCTCGCTGCCTGTGCGTCCCGGGGAGCGGACGGGGCCGCCGCGGGGACTCTGCCCGGCCCCGCGGCTCCCGAGCTGCCCGCTGTCACCCCGCCGCGGCGCTCACCCCAGCTCCCGGATCCCAGATCATGCCTATAGAGTTTGTGTGCGCACCAGAACATCCCCAGATCTAAAAATACTGAGACATGGCTTGGAACAGTTGAGCAATAGAAACATTTCTCTGCAGCATCTGTTTGTGCTCATAACTTCCAATGCACCAGCTGTAGCGAGATACTGAGCTTGGAGAGCAGGGTGAGGGAGCTTGCGTTGGATTATCGCTCTAAGGAAAAAAAAAGAGAGTGCGTGTGGTGGGGAGTGTATGGAGAGTACTGGTCTCAGACCTTGGCGGAGCTTGGTACTCAGCAGCAGCCTGAGCCTTGGCCTTTTTTATTATTTTTATTTTTTTGCCATTGCTTCAAGGGTAGCATGGAGTTCCAAACAGAGCAAGCGCCTCAGAGTTGCTTTGCTGGGGAAGAGAGTGGGAGCCCGAGTTGGAATGGAGCCTGGAGATCGCAAAACTCTCACACTATTATGTCACTCTCGCCTAAGCAACCTGTAATTCTTAATAATAATAATGCTAATACCTAAGTCGAACACGGCTTGGTTTCTAGGGAGCCCAGTGGTGGAAACGGCTTTTTCTGCAAAATGATTGCATCATAACATACACTGATCGTGACCATTTAATAGGGGTAGGAAATAGGCAGTTCAGCGTTTGTACCTGGGTGAGCGGATCAGTGGGACGGTAACCAGGCTAGGGCTGTGAGTCCTGGGCATTTTCATAAACTCAGAATTTACCTGTTAGGAAATAAGGCATTATTGGAAAACGTGTTTTGGGGTATGGAAAGAATGCATATTGCCTTTTACTACTTTTTTTCACATTCATAATCTATCTATAGGCGGTCAGATTTCCTCTCAACCGCTGTTGCGTGTCTGCTGTATATTGCCATGCACTTGTTAGCTTTTTCCTGCTCACTTCCACCCCCTCCCGCAGTGTTTTATTTATATTTGCCATTATCCGGAAAAATCTGCGTGCTCAGGGGTAAGAGGTTCACACCTCTTCAAAGACTGTGGGAGGGGTGAGAGCTGAGGTCAAGGTCAATCCACTTTGCCTTCAGCCTCCCTCCCCCTTCCTCATGTTTTGGTGGCACTTTCATTGATGTTATTGGGACATTTGTTCTAAACTCTTGTGCATTTGGCATTAAAAAAAAACACCGCCCCACAGTATTTCTTCTTCCTTGAGACTCCTGGTTGTCAAATCTCTGGTTAGCTCTAGGGCCCTCGTAGGACTTCTGAGTCGCTTAAAAGATGGACCACATCTTTACCTGAACAGGTCGACCCTTTTAAGTTTCTCTTCAGTGTATTTTTTTGTTTGTTTTGTTTACCAAATAGGTATATTTTTCAGCATTTGCACACGCTGAGTGATGCTCCGTGCATTGTTGAGCGTTAATGTTGTAGGGAGGGGTCCGACGGATAAACTGGTGTCCCCCGTCCTCCGCTGCTTCCCCTCCCCCTCCCCTGTGTTTACCGAGCCTCTAAGGGGTTGCTTTGCCAGCAGCGGTGCTCACATAGCAACATGTGCCCAGAGCACAGTCAGGCTGGTCTATATGGCGTCAGCTGGGGAATCGCTGCTCTAAACACTCATTAGCAGACCTCTCCGAGCCCAGCACGCTTCCTTCGCTCTCCTTGGTTCCCACCCTTCCAAACTTTGGGATTCACTGCACCATGACCGTGTGATGGGACACACTAATCCTTGTTTATTGCTCACAGTTACATTTTTCTGGCTTTTATCATTCATATTGGAAATGTTCCCCATATGGTAAACATGATCTGGGGGCACTCATTATGTTATCTCCTCGACCCTTTTTTATTTTATTTTATTCTATCTTATCCTTAGCTCGCTCTCTCCCTTAACATCTACCTAAGATTCAAGCGCTGAACTATTTTTTTCCATTGCTTATGCTTAATTTTGGCTCAGCCTATAAATAGTCTTACCATGAACTGCACCACATGTAGCCTCTCCATTTCCCAGAAACATTTTCTACCTCGTTGCCGATAGCCTGGGTGAAACAATGATTTGTGTCTCTCGAATTGACACCAGGCCCTTAAGTATTTAGGCTGGCAGGGGAATTCACACGTTGTTCAGCCAATCAGATACCCATTCTCCTGAGCTGTCCCCAGCCAGGAGTCACATCACATAGTGTTCTCATCTCTTCATTGATTCTTTCTCAAAAAATTCCTTTGAATCTATCCCCAACATATTGCACAGAAGCCCTTTTGCTAATGGAAGTTTTCCCAGATGCTCATGAATTGGTGATTTTCAGCGAGAGAAGAGCCAGGAAGTTTCCTGCTCGTGTGGGCAGGTTAATAGGAAAGTCATTCTTCATAGTGGAATATTAAAGCAGTTAAGCTACCAGACTCTGGCAGGTTCTAGATTTTTTTGCTACGGCGTCAGCTCCCCCAAAGTTTGAATGCACATACTGTGTGTGCACACATAGGTACCCATAAATCTGTTTGGGAGCATATCTATTCAAAGTGGCAGACGTCTCTCCCTTTTGCTCCCTGAAATCTTTCTTCGCCTTCCCAGGCAGAAATGGTAAAATTTGTAAATGACGTGCTGTGTGTGGAACAGCTTCTGTCATTAGCGATGGAAACGAGACAATAATAGTTGCTCCATCCAGGCTCTTTTCAAGGGTCTAAATGCGGAAAGCTATTCAGAGGAAGCTGGTAGCGCGTGTCGTGTGGAATTCACACTGATGTCCCGGGGTCGAGATTTTTGGAAAGTCATAATTCAGTCTTTAGATTTCCTGTGGTTGTCATGCTCTCATCTGGAAATGTGCAGAAATAAGTCAGAAGAAATTTGAGATTGTCTACTCATGGTCCCCACTACTAACTCAGATGGAAGGATTATTCTGAATCATGAGAAGGAAATTTCTTGGTGTTAGCTTATAGGATTCTGTAGTCAACCAGGACTCAAAGATACTATTTAAATGATGCCTTTCCCTCACCCCCCTTTTTTGGGGAGGAGTGGGGAGTACACCTGAATTTGGTGTTATATCACCTCTATCTGTTTTTGTGTAGAAGTGCTTGGAACTTTCATATGAGCCAAATAAGCTGAACTCATTGTTCAAAAAAAGTTCTTTCCGTGTCCAGGATCTAGAACCCTGATGACTACGAGTCTTGTTTCTTCTGTCCAAGTGCAAACTTCATAGGGAAGCAGACAAAACATTGGAACAGGTGGAAGACTGGGAAGGCACAGGAACTTCTTTTTATAAAGTAATGCAAAGACACTTTCAAATCGGGCATCATTTAGGTGTCAAAAGCTGCCAAAATGTAACACACATTGCAATTTTCACAGATGACTAATCTCAGGAAAAATGTGTTGGGGCACATTCTTGCATAATAACTTGGATGAAGACTGAGAAGAGAGAAGACAGTAACAAGGCAGTTTGCAGAGACCGTGCACCTTGCCCCCTCGTCGGGGGGTGCGCGGGGGGTGCGCAGACCCCGGAGAAGTGATTTGCTCTTTTTTGTTTGCAGGTGGCTTGGCTCATGGTTTTGTTAACTGCCTGCTCTTCATGTGCTTTGGAGGGAGAAGGAAAAAGCGGAGTCTTCATTGTCAGGGCTTCAACAGATCTCTGAGCTTTTTTTTTTTTTTTAATCTGTTGTTCTTTGTCTCTCTTTAATCCAGGAGATAGATTTGGTCGTTTGCAATGTGGGGAATTGCTTCTCTTCTTTAGTTCTATGCTGCATTAATTTATATCCGGTAAAGAAAACGCCTTTGACTTTTGCTTAGGCTTTTGTTAGGTAGTCAAGGAAAAAAAAAAATAGTGTCTTTGGAGCCAAGAAGGAAAAGTGGAAGTCAATAGGTAGTTTTGACCTAGGACAGGATACGGCGAGAGGAGAAAAGTGAGAATACTGTTTGTTCACATTAGGGAAGGGCGAGTGCCTTCTCCATAGGAACACGCAGCAAACAGCAGCGCGTGGAAGCGAAAGCAGGCTGCCTGACATTTACGAGCCGTTCCAACAGCGTCGCCTCTGTTTGGGAAAACACAGAATTGGACTCACACGAAACGAGTTCCTGCCTTATCTCAAGCCACTAAAGACCTGGCCCTTTGGCCCCAAGGTGCTGAGCTCCGAGCCTGGCCTTACACATGGCAGCCCGTCTCCGGAGACTGTCAGGGCCCATCGCTAGGCAACAGAGCCGCTCTCCACCCGAGGCTCCGTCGGCAGGTGACACGCGCTCGCTGGCCGAGCTGCGACGGGCCTTTCTGCGGGGCGGCTGGGCTGCTGGAAGCGTGTGGACCCAGGGAGCCAGCCCACAGGGTCTCCAGAAACTGGGGCCCGTTTCACATGATTTGAAGGACTGTCTGCTCGGTTTCATCATCGAAACATAATCTGTGCCTTCTGGTTTCAGCCTGGCCTTAGTCTCCCAGAATGCGCCTGCGACTCAGTTAATATTAACATTCTGCATTCGTATGGAAGGTTCTCTAGATGTGTCCAAGTTCTTAAAGCTGCAGGGCACACCCACACACCTTGGCCTTAGAAAGCCTTTCTCCTGCTCGATAACCGGACCCCCGTGAGGAGAGAGAGCAGAAGAGAACAAGAAGGGAGAGGTAGGCCCTGGGAAGAGAATGTTTCAGGTTGCTTGCAAAAGACAGGAGGGAAAGGCCCGGAAATTTTGGTGCAAAGACTGCCACAGACAACTAACTCCTCTGTGTTTAATGATTTTGTGCTTTTACATAAAATGAAATCTTCTAGGGCACGAAGAATTAAAAACCCAATAATCCAACGTAAGGCGTATTTATCTGTATCGGATTCTGTGTCTGGCTGGGAACTGTGGCCTTAGGGCGTAGAGCCATAATAATGACTTCTCTTGTAATGAATGATCTCTCTGTTTTTGGCAGGACCTGTTCTCTGGATGTCAGCTGAGTTACTGAGGTAGCTCTGCATGTCAGTAGACAGACCTTGGTAGCACCTCAAGGCTCCTGGAGACCCCCATCCCTCGCTTTTTTTCGGTGCGTGTCCTCACTGAGCAGTCAAAACTGTTTCTCCAAAGGGTTTTGCAAAAACTGAGACTGTTTCCCAAAGCAGAAGCACTGGAGTCCACGGCCGAAGCGATGGGCAGCGTGCGGACCAACCGCTACAGCATCGTGTCCTCCGAGGAAGACGGCATGAAGCTGGCCACCATGGCGGTCGCCAACGGCTTCGGGAACGGCAAGAGCAAAGTCCACACCCGACAGCAGTGCAGGAGCCGCTTTGTGAAGAAAGACGGGCACTGCAACGTTCAGTTCGTGAACGTGGGGGAGAAGGGACAGCGGTACCTGGCGGACATCTTCACCACGTGCGTGGACATTCGCTGGCGGTGGATGCTGGTCATCTTCTGCCTGGCCTTCGTGCTGTCCTGGCTGTTCTTCGGCTGCGTGTTTTGGTTGATAGCCCTGCTCCACGGGGACCTGGATGCCACCAAGGAGAGCAAAGCCTGCGTGTCCGAGGTCAAGAGCTTCACGGCCGCCTTCCTCTTCTCCATTGAGACCCAGACCACCATAGGCTACGGCTTCAGGTGCGTCACGGACGAGTGCCCGATCGCCGTTTTCATGGTGGTCTTCCAGTCGATCGTGGGCTGCATCATCGACGCCTTTATCATCGGCGCGGTCATGGCCAAGATGGCCAAACCGAAGAAGAGGAACGAGACTCTCGTCTTCAGTCACAACGCTGTGATCGCCATGAGAGACGGCAAGCTGTGCCTGATGTGGCGAGTGGGCAACCTTCGGAAGAGCCACCTGGTGGAGGCTCACGTTCGGGCCCAGCTCCTCAAATCCAGAATTACTTCGGAAGGGGAGTACATCCCCCTGGATCAAATAGACATCAACGTCGGGTTTGACAGCGGCATTGACCGTATATTTCTGGTGTCCCCCATCACCATAGTCCATGAAATCGACGAAGACAGCCCTTTCTATGACTTGAGCAAGCAGGACATTGACAACGCAGACTTTGAAATCGTCGTGATCCTGGAAGGCATGGTGGAGGCCACGGCCATGACCACCCAGTGCCGTAGCTCGTACCTGGCCAACGAGATCCTCTGGGGCCACCGCTACGAGCCCGTCCTCTTTGAGGAGAAGCATTACTACAAAGTGGACTATTCCAGGTTCCACAAGACCTATGAGGTCCCCAACACGCCCCTCTGCAGCGCCAGAGACTTAGCCGAGAAGAAATACATCCTTTCCAACGCAAATTCATTTTGCTATGAAAATGAGGTGGCCCTCACGAGCAAAGAGGAGGAAGACAGTGACAATGGCGTTCCGGAAAGCACGAGCATGGACACGCCGCCCGACATAAACCTTCACAACCAGGCCAGCGTACCTCTAGAGCCCAGGCCCTTACGGCGAGAGTCGGAGATATGACTGACCGATCCCTTCTCTGGAGTAGTTACGTCCAAACACAGTGTGTCGGTCAGAGGCCCCAGACAGTGATTCAGACGACGGTACTGGCGCAGAGGTGGGTCAAGGCAGGCGGCCGCCGGGGACTGAGGCTAGCACGATGGTTTCCGAGGAAGACCCTCAGCTCGGAGACGAGCGGAAAGCACGGAACACGCCTCCCCGTGACCCGACGGCACGTGCAACGTGCTGTAGAATAAGTTATGGGGGCGTCGATGTCTCGTGTTGCGTTTCGACAAAACTTGAACTTGCAGGCAAGCCTTGGTTGGGTGTTTGACTTACCCAGAATGCTTCTCTTTAGGGAACAAGAGTGTTTTTAATGGCATAACAAAGGCAAGAGTCTCTGCCTTAATCTCGAAAAGCTGCTAACTACGTGCACACAAATTGTATTTTTGTTGCAGTGTAGTTTTCCTGTAGTGTAATTTAAAAGTCAGTATTGAACTTTGTGGAAAGCTCATGATATGCACTTCAAAATGGTTATTAGCTGCCAAAGCGAGAGCCTGATTTTTGGAGGCCAGTAATTTGTTTGCTAGGATTGATTTTTACCCCCCTCTCTGTCTCTGGTTACATAAGGGCATTATGTAACGCTAGCCAAATGGTAGCCTCCGGGTTGGGTTTTTGTTTTTTTTTGTTTTTTTCTTCCCTCTTCATGATGTTAATGGGTTATCTCAAATTTTAAGTTAGAACTACCTAAAATGAATACCAAAGATGATGCACATTTTTGCACAGTGGAGCTTATCCTCAAAAGGAAGGAGAGTTCTCCAGAGCTGCCTTGAAATCAAGAGACAATGACGTTGAACCTCAGCAAGACCTTGAACTGCCCTCTAGAGAAAATAGGACATCGGACACACAGAGTCTAGTGAGTGTAGTGCTTTTAAAATTCTGTTCTTTCATGTAACTTTTGTATGAAAAGGGAAAGAAGAAAGGGGGAGTGAAGTTCACACAGACACACGCACACACCCCCCCCCCACACACACCCGAGCACCTTTTCTCTCCTGTGAGACAGCGCTGGCCAGGCTGATGCATAAGGTGAGAGACGGTGACAGGCGCTTAGATTTTTCTGGGTTTCCCCTTTTTGTGCATTCCAGAACTCCATCACCTAAGCCCTTGGTTGGATTTAGTAGGCATCCTCGAAACCGAGCCGTCCAACATGGAAGGTTAAATGAAACTAAACCCTTGCGGTTGGACTCGCCTCCCCGACTCCCGGGACGGTTCCAGATCGACGTCGCCTTAGAGAAGATGCCGCAGCAGCAGCCCTGTGGGGGCTGCCAGTCCCGCAGCGTCCGAGGGGGCTGCGGAGGCCGGAGCGGGAGGCGGCCAGCTGCGGACGGGCCCCTTGGGATGTAGTACATCAGCTCAGGTATTCAGGAGGGAGAGGGAATCTGCCTTATTTGAATGGTAGAGGGTAGGAATGAAAGGGTCTCAGTATTTCAAGGTCACCAAGAGCCATACAAAATAGGACACACCCACATAAAAGGAGGTAATGGCCCAGTAGGGTTATTTCCCCTTTATATCGGCACACTCATGATTGAACCTGAGGTCCCTTGTTCCCTGGGGACCCCTAGAGCCGGTGACTAAGGACACGTGGTTTTCCGAAGCCTCTCCTGCCTGGCTGCCTGGCTCGCTGAACACAATTTTTTCCCCCTATTCGAGCTTAATAATGGAATTTTTTTTTTTTTTTTTTTTTTTTTTTTGGTCTGAGGTACCCTATCTGTGAATTCCGGGGTTACTGACTTTTCTTTTTAATTAGAGTCTCAAAACCAACTCTCTTACGGTATTATATCCCTGTATGCCATTAAAAAAACGGCTTGTTCTAGAATCCTGTACTTTGCGAACTGGCGTTTGTGACGGTCTCTGGGTCCTGAGCAGCCGTACCCGAACGCAGTGCCCGCCACGCGGTCGCCGTATCGGCTGTTGTCGGCCTTCAAAGTCCCCGAGTCTGAAAACGGTGGTGTCATTTTCATGGAAACCAAGACCGAGAAGTGGATGCTACTTTGAAATCCAACATTGAAAAAGGGCAGGTTTGGGAAGTTGTGTAGAGAGTTGGAGGCACTGGGATCGAGTGGGCAGGAGAATCAGCCAAAGAGGCAACTGTCTGGCGTGGACGGTGAGAGGGTACCGGGGGCTTCTGCTGCTGCTATTTTGATATTTTGCAAAGGAAAAAAATAAACCAAAGAGTATTCAGTGAAACGGACATTAAATGAAGATACAGTGGAGAGGGGGGCTCCTCCCCAGCACACAGAGCTGCCACTTAAAAAAGACCTGAGATATTTGCAAAGGGGGGTGGGCACGGGGGCAGGACCGAGGGAGGGAAATCTTTCAACTTCTTTCTGAAATAGAGGGAAAAAAAAAATATATCTAAAATTTCTGGTGCACAGGTTTGTTTGTTTGTTTTTTTCAAGAAAATTTTGCAGAAGCTATGTTTTTAAAAGTGTACATTTTATAAAGTTTATCAGATATTTTCATATTTAAAGCCAAAATGTAAATAGAAGTCTGTAAAGGGAAAAAATTGCCATAGAAAGTATGATTTTTGTGCAGCGATTTCTGAGAGCTAGTACCTAAATGCTACCGGTTAGCATGGTTTTAGCAGATATCTACCAGCCTTATCAGGTTCGTACTGCAATGTTCTTCGGTTATTTATTTCAGCATGGACTGTTCATTTGAGAGCTTTTTTCTAGTTATTAGTATTTTAACAGTTACAAGCTTTAAATGGCTTTTTTTTTTTTTTTTTTTT